AGCTCCGAGACCGTGGCTGTGGTACGTGTCCTTAAGGGGTGGGGGGTTGGGGGGGTTGTAGGGGGGGTAGGGGGAAGGATTAGGGGTGGGTGGGGGGGGTGGGGGGGATAGGGGGATGGATTAAGAGGATTAGAACAAGGATTGGATGTGAGGTTTTACGGATTGGATTTTCTTCTGTGTCATTTTTTTTTCCCTTTTTTTTTCTCTCTCTTTGGTGAATTTTGGATAGAATCTTATGTGCGTTTGGCCGTAGTTAGGTGTATGTGTGTGTGTGTGTGTATGCATGCGTCCGTGTGTGCGTGAAGTTTAGATAGATTTTTGTGTGTGTATATATATGTGTACAGTATGTGGAATTAGACAGATGGATAGATAGATAAATATATGTGTGTGCGTATATAGTGTATAATTTTTAAGATGTAAGCATAATAATTAATACATCATATTCTGAACTCTTTACGTTTTTTCTACTGTGAAAAAATATATTTCTTGAACAAAACAGACAGGAAAAGCCATAACAGTGACTTTACTCTTTACTGAAACGTTTAAAAAGGAGATCGATTTTGGTAACTCAGAAATTTATACAAAGGGTAAAGATGAATAGATTTTCAAGCGTATATATTTTTTTATTTGCTCGACATACGACCTTTTTTGTGTTAAATAATATAATTTACTTGAAAAAATAAAATAAAAAATAAAAGTCTCATTTTTACGTGGAAGTGTTCCTTGAATGAACAAATACGAACGTTTGTTCACACAAAGTCCCGTGATTTTATTTGAAATGTTTTGTTCATGGCATTTGGGGGGGGGGGTGCTGAACATGTGAACCGGAAAGGATTTTGAAAACGCGCTTCTATGCCAGAGCCGGTAGAGTCAGAGATAAATAGAAATATATTTTTTGCAAATGGAAAATAATATTTGATTATATGGCGTAAATTATTATTATTATTATTATTGTTATTATAATTATTGTTATTGTTATTATTGTTATCATTATCATTATTATTATTATTATTGTTATTGTTATTATTGTTATTGTCATTATTGTTATTATTATTATTGTTATTATTATTATTGTTATTATTATTATTGTTATTATTATTATTATTACCATCATCATCATTATTTTGTTATGATCATTATCATTAGTAGTAGTATTTATTACTTTTCTTTATTCAGCTTGTTTTTATATATTAATTACTGGGGATATGATTTATTTACATTTTTTTCTGAAATTATTGTTATGGAGTTAATTAAGAATAATGAGTGTGTGAATGTATATCAGAGTGACTGTGGGTGTTAGTATAAAAAAACAGATTTTTTTTAGCACTTAGTTTTTGTTGAATTTTTTTTTTTGGTTCAGTTTAGAATAGAGTTTATTTATTTTGTAGTATTTAGAATATGTATTATTATTTTTTCCCCGCATGGTTTTTAATTTCCTTTATTTTTAGTTTGCAGATTTTTTTTCTCCCTTTTCTTTGGTAACACATATACGTACACACATATACACATATACACACACATACACATACACATACACACACATATACACATACACACACATACACATACACACACATATACACATACACATACACACACTTACACACACACATACACATACACATACACATACACACACACACACACACACACACACACACACACACACACACACACATACACACGCATACACACACGCATACACACACACACGCACACACACGCACACACACATACACATACAACACACATACACAGTCACATTCACACACACATACACACACACACACACACACACACACACACACACACACACACACACACACACACACACACACACACACACACACACACACACACTAACATAGATACACCAGTAATTAAATCAGTAAAAGAATATTAAATTAACAGTACATTTTCTTTAGATCACTAATCAGATTTGTAAACAAATCCCGTATTTTGTTAATACTTTTATCTTTTCTTCCCATTTTCTCTTATATTTTGTACCGTACTTTTTTGTATATTTTGTACCGTATTTCCCATTTTCTTTTATATTTTGTACCGTACTTCCTATGTATGTTAGTAATCCCCCCTGGTTCTCAACTGGTTTATGATTTTTTTTTTCATATTGCATGCAGTTTCTCGAAATACTGCTTCAATAACTATATCTGAAATATTTTTTTTTGCTTCATTTTATTATCTTTACATAACTGGTGATCCGTAGTCTGAAACCATCTGAGAACCAAACCTATTTAACACAATGTACGGTCCATGTACCGTACTTCCCATGTATACGTAGACAACCTTACCCATATATATAGTCTGAACTCTGTGTGTATGACCGTAGTTGGCTGGCGACCGCCTCATGGGACAGGTGGGACAGATTGTAATGATCATCGCCGTGGTTATGTCGACTTTTGGATCGGCCAATGGGTCCTGTTTCACTGCTGGAAGGTTTGTGTTTTGTTTTTGTTTTTACTTTTAATTGTTTTATTTAAAA